TAGGTCTCCCTCTACCTCTCCGCGTGCCCACTACAGCCAGTCGCTCACACCTCCTCACCGGTGCATCAGTGCTCCTCCTCTGAATGTGCCCAAATCATCTGAGTCTTACTTCCCGCATCTTGTCCTCCATGGGGGCCACACCCACCTTCTCTCGAATATCTGCATTCCTAATCTTATCCATCCTTGTATGCCCGCACATCCACCTCAACATCCTCATCTCTGCTACTTTCATCTTCTGGGTGTGTAATAGACAATGAATACATAAAAATACAGCGTGATACATTGAAAATACATTGAAATATATTCGAACCTATATGCAATTTGTAGGTTGCAGTGATTTACTACTGATTTTGCAGAAATCGCCCAGTGATGGGGAAAAGCACCTTTTATAAGGAAAGAGAGTGGTTCCAGTCTGCGTAATAGTTTATCGGCACCAGATTTCACCAAATCTAGTGAAGAGAGCGAGGAATCTGCTGTGTGTCATTTGCCATGAAATCTTATGGTGCTAGGTCAATTTCTCTTCCTTAATGACGGGGGACGATATAGCCGGCATTCCCTGTAGCGCAACGTCTCTCACCTCCTCTTGCAAGAATTCGCCGTTCATTGGCCTTCGAAGATTATTATTGGAGTAGGTTAGAGAGAGAGGAGAGAGGAGAGAGCGTGGGGTTTTTGACTAATGGTAGGTAACGTGGGTGAGAGGAATTTTGAAATTGAGCATCGTGTTTTCAGGAATATGGGAAGAGAATGACATGAATCAAAATAGAATATGGGAAAAGAATGATATGTATCAAAGTAGAGAGAGAAAGAAAATAATGTAACTGAATAGCGTATTTAGTGGCTTAAGGCTAAGAGATAACCAAAATTAGATATTTTGCTATAAACATTAAAAAGTATTTATAGAATATAATGTTTAAAAATGATATTTATTTAAAATAAATAAGGTGTTAACATTTGCTATACGAGGTAAAAATTCTTAATTTAAATATCATATACCAATCAAAATCTCGTGTTCAAAAATCTCTCGCCAAGAGGATTTCCTATTACTCCATTATTCATGTGTAATTTCTACACTCTAATACACTGCACATCTTATATAGTGCACACATCCTATTTCAATTAGGATATCCAAAAAATAAAAACTCTAGAACTAAAAAAATTTAGAAGCTATAAAGCTCAATTAGACTGAGCTAGACCAGTGCAAACTGGTGGATTCAATACTATATAAAACAAATTGCTAAAAATTGCACAAAAATTGGGAGCTAATTAAAAAGAGCTCAAGAAGACTGAGCTCCAGCACAAATTGGTGGATTTTGCTTCCCGACAAACTTTGGCTTCACATTTTCACAACTAGATTTGGCTGGTCCTTCTTTTCCATTATAGGTAATGTCTATATCTCCAACCTCCACTCCATCACACGGTGCACCTTTACTGCACAGTAAAAGCACTGCATCTTGTGTTCTTGATGTTCCCCTTATGTTCTTTATGCTCACTTTGCTTATCTTCACTTGTGATGGCAACTGCAAAAATTACAAAATAAATATATGAACCATAATATAACAAAAATAAATCTAGAATTAACTCTTATACACTGACAGCAGTAGCAAAGCCAGGAATTTCGTTGCAGGTATTCAAGATTTCATATATGTGTATAAATATAGTATATTTAACCTATATGTACAAGTTTAATTTTCCGGCAACGGGCGTCGTTTCAGCTGACCATACTTCACTATTTAACTTATATACTCAATATATTTTCGGGTGAATGGTGTTCAACTAATCATCCTTCACCATATTTAACTTATATCAAAGTATAATTCTTCGGTGAAAGTGTTAATTGACGACCCGATTCACAGTATTTAACTTTATATACGTGGTACATTTTTTTGGCAAAGGGTGTCCAAATGGCCACCCCTGGCGTACTAGTAAAGTTGATGTCATGTGATCAGGAGGTCACGGTTCAAGCCGTGGAAAAAGCCTCATGCAGAAATGCAGGGTAAGACTGCGTACAATAGACCCTTATGGTCCGGCCCTTCCTCGGACCCCGCACATAGCGGGAGCTTAGTGCACCAGGCTGTCCTTTGGTATCCAAGCAGCCACCCTTCACAGCTAGGTAGACAGAATTTTTATAATAGTATATCAGATCGTCACTTAAAAGATAAGTACAAGTAACTGCATAAAGTTTTGTTCTTACATCTTTGTTGCATTGATTGTAAGGGCAATAGACTTGATCAATGACAATAGGGTTGCTAACATTTTGCACAATGATATCTTCATAATGCAAATCTGTGACAACACCTTGATGTGAAGCTGGCCATGTCTTTACTCTAACACCATTATCAGTATTAATAAATGTGCAATTTTTCACATAAACTCCAACCACTGGCTTTTCACCTGGAGTTTTTCCAAGACTTCCAACACTAATACCATGGCCAGGACCACATGTAACTCTAGTGATATGAAGCTGCTCCAATTCATCTCCTACAGAAATACAGTCATCTCCTGTACCAATTACACAATCTGTAATGTTCACGTTGCTCGATCGCGCGACGTGAATGCCATCTGTGTTGATACTTTCTGGTGGAGCTGTGATGTTTACTCTGATGAATGTCAAGTTCTTGCAACCATTCACGTTGATATGGAATAGTTTGCTGTCTTGTGAAGTTATGTCTTGGATTGTTGAGTTTGTAAGGAAGTTGAAGCTCAAATTCTGTACAAGAGTAAAAATAATGAGCACAATTGGATAAGCTTAAGTTGTTGTATGCACTGACAGTACAAAAATATTATTGGTGAAATCTTGTGATAAATTAAACATTTGTTGGTAACATGATAAGAACGGTAATGTACTTGTTATCACATGTTAAACTACGTTAATACTGTAAAAAAATCTTACACTAATTACAAGTTACAATGTATATAACTTAAATTCTATTTTGATAATGTTTTACTAGTGAAAATTAAAAGACTTACTTCTATATACTAACATTATAATGTTTATGTATCAGGTTATTTAAAAGATAATCAGAAATATTCATAATAGATGGACTGAGTAACTTGAAAACATAGGCAACTAATTTTGTATAACAAGTTAAAATGCACTGATAGTGTGAAACTATCATCATACTGTGAGACTTCTCTATAACAGTCGTCCCCTATAACAACATTTCCCTATAACAGTCAAGTTTTTCTTGAAACTATTCTTCATGTTATGTTATTTGTAATAAGACTTCACTACAATAACCAAAATATATTGGAACAAACAAGGCTGTTAGGGGCAAAGAACCAATCGGACTGACCTAGTGAATAAAACGGAAATACAAAAAGAAAAACAACAATGGGACCAGAGAATGCGATTGCATTATAAGGTCTCAATTGAACAAATCGAGCAAGCTCGAATTGATGTAACATAAAACTTATTAGGCCAAAAGCTCCATGGAGAGCAACAAAAATCCACAGCCTCCCTCCCC